TTTTCCCCCCCCCCCCCCCCTCCCCTAGTGAGTGACGCTCGTCCACTTGGTTCTCTTCTGTGATTCATCAATGTGCTCTATTTCATTTGTATGCTCTATCTCTCTCTCTCTCTCTCTCTCTCCGGTTCTTTGTATTAATCATGGTACGCTGAAAAGGTAACTAATTTTGTTCAACGTGTTGTGTTCTGTTGCAATGGGGTATTTTACATGCCAGCTACTGCTGTTTTTGTCTGTCCTTCTCCACCTGTGAAGTTGTGCATTGAGTACCACGAATTGTTGAGATCTCCCTGCACCATTTGATAAAAGAACATCGAGATTCCCGAAGCGCAAGATGTTTTACTCCGTGTCGACATTTCCCACGGGAAAATAACTCAGGGATGTTCACACTCGCTGTTGTGGTGTCAAAACCGCCATATAGCCGAGTGAAAAATTTCAAGATTGAACGCACTCAAGATTTGATTGATTTGTGTGACCACAGTTTTAATCTTGACCATTTTCGCACTGGACCGGGTATTTATTGACTAGTATGCTGATTCTGTCTGGAGCGGTTGTTTGTGGTTCAGGATTACTAAGGAAGTAACGTACGATTGGGCGGTCTGGAGTGCGAATGGAGGTCCATCGGTCATCGCGCCTCATCCGTTTGGATTACCTTGAATCGATTACGATTGAACCTGACAACCAAAACCGGTGCACGAAAATGCATGGTTAAAGGTTAAAAAAATTGAAAATGAACCCAGCAGTATCCACCTGTTTACGCTTGTCCGGTGAGGCATATATATATATATATATATATATATATATATAATGTCATATTCGAACATCGACCATTTTTATGTATGTTTTCCGTTAAAATTGGTTGATAGCATTCACCTAGCCTAGGAATTATCGCTCATCGGATTAACAACCCTTCGTGACAAGGTTCGAATCCAAATGCATGCAGTGTTATGCACTGCTGATCGCTTTTAAGAGGGCTGCGCAAGTTTTGTAGCGCTTCCAAAATTTTTCATTGATGAGTGACGCGTAGGTGAATACACTTTCACAAATTATCGTTAATGATAAATATCACGAAACAAATTGTCTGGCGACCTCCTTGTTTTGGGGATGAAAATCCTACTGTTTGTTGTGTGGTGTTCGAAAGCTACCCGATCGACCACTTGGCGAGTCAGGGACGCGATCTGTGTGGTGCTTCATTGTGTTGCTCTCATATGTCCAAATTGCGCTTCACAAATATTGATCGAACTCGTGTAACATGATTCTCATTTTGGAAATACATTTCAGTTTTCAATATCATACATGTATACCGATAGCTCTGGATGAAGAGTATTTACTCCGAACTTTATCCTCTACTGCAATCTAGTTAATTCTTTTGTATCACGGTTTGAATTCGCGCGACCTTGAGTGTAGCGATAAAGCTTTTAGTAGTTCGAAAGTTAGTTCAGAATTGATACATATTTATGCAAATCAGCATGTAAGTTCATTCTTTCTACTAAAAATGATTTGCTATCTCATGGTGTTTTTCTGATCAATGCAAGTATTCTAAATAGATTATCTTTTTAACTCGGTGCACAGTAAACAAGTCGATTACTGAAAATGTTACAGATTAAATAAATTGAAAAAGTATATGGCTGCAAAGTACTCGCGTAACATCCCTGATTCCTAAGGGACTAAAAATGTATTCTAAGAAACATAAAAGTTAACCTTTAGGTGTGCTGCTTGTTGAATAAGTGTCTTGTGGTGTCAACTGGCCCAAGCTGGATGAAACATCCAAGAGCTTTTGGTATATAGCTGAAGCCGAGAGGCACATAAATCCGACGACTCAGTTCCTGACTTGTGCAAGTGCTTCGACGTGAACATAAGCAGAATTTATCGCATAATCAACGGAATTTTTCCGTCAATACATAAACTAAGAAGAGAAGAACTGATCATATCGAAGTAAAACGATAGTTGCATGTGATCACAGCTGAGAAAAGTTACACACCAACGTGGAGGATAATCCGGGTGTATTAGCCACAATTTTCTCACGTCAGAGTTTGGAAACTGATGGCTTAATTTGAACTCAAGCTGAGATACACCTGATATGAAGGCGTTATTGAACGCCCAAAAAAGAAGGGAGAGCACGTGTTCATTCAATCCACAAATTCAAATCGCGTCGTCCGTCCATTTGACATAGGGTTTACCTCACTGGTGGTTAACGAGCAATACAGCAGATGCAGAAAGTTGATCTCTTGACCTAGCTTTCATTAAATTTTGCTTCATCTATCAAACGAAGTAAATGTTAGAAGGGAAGAAAAACAACGTTTGGTTTTTTGGTCTCCCGTAAATGCCACAGTGAATATCGCGAAATTTGTTGCACTGCTGAGGCACGTTTTTGGATAACTGTCACTCGAAATGCATCCACAGAAGTCATATTTTTCCCAAATAGAGGTTAGTGTAGCATCTCACTTGAGGTCTGTCGTAAAAAACGATTAGACCTCATTTATGCAGTTTCTGGATGGGTCAGTTGCAATGCTGAGTTCATTAAGTTACCACCCAGCAGTTGGGATTTGAATATAATCGAAACAAAAGCGACTGCCTCCAGTGCTCAAAAATGAAGAAGGGCAAATATAATATTGAAGAAATTACCGTGCAATACCTGAGTCATTTTTATATTTATATAATATTTTTGAGGCTTACAAGTGATGCACCAGCAACCGTCCCCGAAATCCAAAAATCTTGTATTTTAATGGCATTCAACTAATTAGAAGCAAAAACATAATTGAATATTATATGTTATATTAATACAGCTATGTTGCGTCTGATGTGGGCAATAGCATATTCAATCCGGTGAATGAGACTCGAATGACTAAGCGTCAGGGGGAACAACTGTGATGAAACTTGGGTTGTGTTGATGAATAAGAAAGAGCCGCTCGTTTCGAGCGTAAGTCTATGTTCGGTCTAGAGCCGAACATAAAAACGTTGACATATTTATACCATATTACCTGACCCAGAAGTATAACATCTGAACCATCATAACTGCAATTGCTTTGATGAAGTTTCATCTCAATTCCGGAAAATTTAATCTAAACCATTACGTACTGTATGTTCTGTTGTATCTTGCCAAAACAGTTTCTCGCAATTTGTCCTTCAAACCTTTCTCCTATTTGCAACATATCCGGTGCACCCCACCAGATAATGCAGAGGTCTCCGCCTGCGGGTTTTCATTCAATTGCTTTCATCTATTGACTATATTTCAGTCTTCATCCTGTTACTTGTCCACCTCATCTTACAGACAGAACGATCTGCCCAAAGTCTATACGCGGTTTAGATGTTTGTAAACCACTCGGTTCGGCGCTAAAAATCTATTCTACGCTGTGTTTCTTATTCATTGTTTTGAAAAATACTATTTTACGGTGTGGAGATCAATGCAATCTCGAAAGTTATCGTTTGCAAAACCATTATCGAAGACCAGCTGCGTGCCTTTCCTGAACACAAAGGTTTGCTGATTGAAAATCAATGCGGATTTCGTTCCACGGGCGACCTGTTCGTGCTCGTTTCGCATACCCGGTGAATGGCACTCGATAACCATGAATCAGCTTATTTAGCACGCCTCGCCGTTTCAAAGGCGTTCGACCGAGTTTGGCGCAAAATTATGTTGTCCCAATTACCCACGTCGAACTCCACCCGCTCTCGTGCTGCAATGTTTTCTCCGTAAGCAAACCGTCTTCATCGGAGTCGATGGAGTCTTATCTCGCTCGGTAGCTTTCTGTGAATGCCGATGTTTCTCGAGGTTCCATACTTGCGTCCATTCTTCTTTGGGTTAACGGTCTTTTGTATAAGACTATCGATCTACGTTCAGTAATCTGCCGATGGCCCTACTCCTTTGTTCTCTTTCTTACCCCACGATCCACCAAACCACCGGTAAAATGATCGCAGTGTAACTAATTCACTACTTGCCTCCACTCTCCTGAACCCATTTCTGTACATGCTTGCGTCGATATTTCAAAAACTTCAGCCAACTGTTCTTGACTCATTCGATTGTAAAATCGCCTTGATAAAGGTTACCCATGGCAACCGAACCGTCGGCTTATTTTCACCTGTACCGACATCGTTGTGTTTTCAAAATTACAACTTATATAAAACATATCACATGGTGCATCGATTTTTCGATACACTCCGAAAATCGTTCGGATCTGACACTGATTGCAACGTTACCCTTTTTTCTATCCGTACCATGTGGATTTCCAGTTTTCTGAACTCGCTTTGACGGTTCCGTCCACATATCATTTTCTCATCCATCCGGATCATAGGCGGCCAGGCGCTTTTTGACAGACGTCTGTCACAACGTGTCGAACTTCTGTCTTTCAATTTTCCCAAAACCGATAAATTATGGTAACTTAATTCTCTTTTCATGTTTCCAAACACTTAGAATCTTGTTCCATGCAAAACCAGAATCAACAAATGGGCTTCTATATGAATGTTACTCCACAAGTTGCCGCTCCCTCCCCCGCTTTGCTTACAGGGTCCGTACCCTTTTTTCTGCAAATCACTTTGTGTAATAAGAATAAATAAAGCACTGTCCCGCGGCCTTCTACAAATGAAGGGATAGATCTGTTCGCAACTCGGTTCTCAGTCATCTCGTCGATAGCGGGCATTCTGTGAACAATTTGGATGCATTCAAAATTATTCACACTATACCCCGGAGATACTCCAAAGGGATGAGAAGGCGGCCTTTAACCACGAGCGAGGCGATTGCAATTCAAATTTTCAATCCAGAATTATGTAAGCAAATAAAGGTTGGTCCATACACTGTTGTTGTCATGGCCTGGACAACGGATTGATTGTGCATAAAACAGAGTATCAATCCCCCTT